AAAAAAAAAAAAAAAAAAAAGAATAAACATCACGGTTTGTCTGAGGGCTAGACATAGATACGAATTTAAGAGTAATGTGTAATGTGATTTGCTTAATCCTTTCCTCGTTTGCCCAGAGAAGACTCACTGGTGGCACCTGCAGCTGCGGCATCTTCCCCAAGATAACTGTGCCACGAAATAGCTCACTTTATTATTATTTTCGCATCACTCTAGTATATCCACTTTGGAAACAAAAGACGTCATTCTATTTATAGCATTGTGTTTTTAGTAGCAGGGTTTCCCCATTTACAAAGTACAGAAATTGTCCATGGCTGAAAATACAAAATCCTAGAAAATGTAGCATTCCTATGCATGATACTAACATCATTCTCAAACAGTTGTTGGCCAAAGATTCATTTGATGAATCTGATTTTCCCAGAATAGACTATTCTGATGATTCAGATGATTCTGATGTTAGTTCTGTTTAGAAATAATTCCAAGAGGCCGGGCGCGGTGGCTCAAGCCTGTAATCCCAGCACTTTGGGAGGCCGAGGCTGGCGGATCACAAGGTCGGGAGATCGAGACCATCCTGGCTAACACGGTAAAACCCCGTCTCTACTAAAACACACAAAAAAACTAGCCGGGCGAGGTGGCGGGCGCCTGTAGTCCCAGCTACTCGGGAGGCTGAGGCAGGAGAATGGCGTGAACCCGGGAGGCGGAGCTTGCAGTGAGCTGAGATCTGGCCACTGCACTCTAGCCTGGGCGACTGAGCGAGACTCCGTCTCAAAAAAAAAAAAAAAGAATTTTCAAGGAACTAAAATCCAGTGACAGAAACGAAATCGATCAAGGCTGTAGTCGCACACCTGAGACATTCCTCCAGAAGGCAGAGGAGAAAGGTGTGAAAACAGTGAACCAGAGAAGGATGGCCAGAGACAACAAAGATTGGAGCTCTGAAGTTGAATGATAGATATTCTGGACCAACACCCCAGAGATGACAAAAGGTGGGTCTGCAGAGCTGACAGGTGTACTCTTCCAAAACACACACACACACACACACAAAGACTGTCACCACTTAGACGTATTTCAAATCGTATGATTAATAAGACTGAATTTTTGGCTTCATTATCACTCTTGTCTTTACTCCATAAAATGTACACCTTCTCAAATATTTGAGGAATAAGTATACAAATTGATATAAACTGGGTTACAAATAATAACTCAAGCTTTCCAGGGAGAAATTATAGAGGCTCCATATTCTGACTACAATTAAAATCCCACAGAGGCCAGCCTGGCCAACGTGGTGAAACCCCGTCTTAACTGCTTTTGTTCCAATAAAACAAAATAGAGAGCAGGATCCTCAGGCTTCGATGCTATTTGCTTAATCCAGCTGGTCTGTGGAGAAGCCTGGGGCAGACGGAAGCAGCTGGACTCCAGAATCCCCGGTTTTAATAGCTGTTCTATGCTATGTCCCCGTCTTATTGCTGGCAACTCACCTCTCAGCCCATGCATTGTGACATTACAGCAAGAAGTACTAATACAAACGACACAAAAGAAAAAAAAAAACCATGGGGTTTTGTTTGTTTTATTAACTAGGCGGGCATTGTAAATGTGCAGGGTGGGAAGTGATCAGGAGACAGGTATCCGATGAGCATCGGCCGTGTATCAGGCATGTTCCTTACGTACCGCGATCCCTCAGAAACACTGCAGAGGGCTATCACTGCTTCCTTTTACATACGAAAAAACTGAGACTTAACAGTTGCTCATGGGAAGCTGAACCAAGAGTCAAAACAGGGGCTTTCGGGCTCCAAAGACCACACTGTTTCCATTGCGCAAAGTTGTCTGCACTGTGAGCGACAGAGGAGAGGAAAGGGGACTAAAAATAAAACCCAAAAATCCAATAAATAAAACAAAATAAATGAACTGAGCATTCAACCCAAAAAGGTATAAGGAGCAGAAGGAATATATTTCCAAGGAAAACAGGAAGAAGCAAAGCTTAAGAATAAAAGCGTGACTTACACATTTAATTGGATCCAGGGGAAACTGTTGGGGTGAGATGTTAAGGACAGAGTTATGAAATGACTGGAG